TTCCGATCTCCCCAAAACCCCAAAACCCCTTGGAGTCAAAATATGATTATCAAGATTAATCTCAAAAATTAAGAAATTATTCCACTATTTCAAGAGCATTATTATTAGGTGAGTATTCAATTTATGTAGCTATAGTCTTAAACTTTTCCTTTATTTCATCTGCATTTTAGCCAATAATTAATTTCTTGATAATTTTTTCTTTCAAACTTAATAACTATCTAACGTTTTCATGATAATTTTGTCTCTATTGCCTCTCAATTTAAAAGAAAAGTTTAATGACTATATCACATTCGAGGCTATTATCAGAAATCATTTCCAAAACTCTTGAATATTTTGTGTATAGTAATGATCTATTCGATATTTGGATGATTTATGAAAAAGATTTAGTTAGTTAATTATACTACTGTTAAAATTTTCCCACAAGTATTTTTTATATTGATTCTGGAATGTCAAGAGAAGCAGCATTAAGAGTAAAATTTAAAAGTATCTCAGTAATCATTTTGAGTTTGCAAGATTGAAACTCTTGGTATCTTTCTAGTACTTCAAAAGCATAATCTGAATTCAAAAGCATTTATTTAAAATCAATTATCTTCTAGGGTAAAAAGTATTGCAAAACCTATTCAGCTGTGTTTTGCTACCATTATATAAGCTAAGATTCATCACTTGAGATTTTATCTAAAGGAAGAGCTCTAATGAGCTTGAGTAATGTGAAATTTATTTCCTGCTTAAGCTAGTCATACAATTGGCTAAAAATTAGTTTTCTTAACTTCTTAATCTGCTTTATTATTATCTTTTTTAGATCAGTGTCAATATCAAGGAAATTTTCGAGCAATTTCACAACATCCAGAATAAGGAAATTGAACTTAAGTTAATTGATTTACTCATCCGAGTCAAAGTCAATGGCAATAATCTAATTTGAGAAATGCTAAATGATACTAGTTAATCTTTCATTTGCAAATTGAATGATGGAACTTTTAATTTCCAGTTAAGTCTATGTGGTATTGATGTGAATGCTTAGTGTATCAGTCATTTCATTTATCTTTGAATAGAGTATTCCAACTGCGTTATTTTCACTTGAATTAGTAGTTTAGCTTAATGACCCGCTGCTCGAAGAATTGACGAACCTTCCAAATTTTTTTAAATCATCAAGAATTCTTAGTATCTGATCTTCTTGAGATAAAAGACTCTTGCTGATGTTTTAAAGATATTTATTCTTCAGGACTGATAAAGAATCAAACAAATTAAATTTCAATCTATTAAGAGATTAATACTTATTATTCTTACTCTAGGATTTGAATCTTATCAGAAGGAGTAATTTCATTAAGAATCTTTTACCAGAAAAGCATAATGCCATTTAAAAATATAAAGTAACGATTAGATAGCACTTGGAATAGATAAGAGTACATCTCAGTTTGTTCAATTTTAGTAAGTGATTGCTTCAGAATATAGACTAGTTTGTCCCAGTATAGATTGAAGATATTATTCAGCCCAGTCTAATCGAATTATTTTTTAAAGTATTTTACCTTCTCAAGTGAATCTTAAATTGATTCATAAGCTGAAGCTGGATCTCTTTCCGACAGGGCCAGTGATAAAGTATAGACTTTTAGTGTATGCTTAATCATGTCATTGATATATATTCCAACAGACTTATCTACCATTGTATTTTCTTCATCCTTACTTGAAACACCCTAAACTCTCTCATCTATAAGCGATTAATAGATTAATTATGAAGTATAATATTACTTAAACTCTGGATCTGCACTTTCCAAACAGTAAAAAATGACTTCAAAGTTTGGTTGACTCTTCCTTGAATTTAGTCGCTTAGTGTCTCTAGATTAAAGAATATCTAAATAGTTTAAGTGATTCCTTGTATGTCTCTATTCTCGTAGCTCTCCTAGAATTTTTTCTAAGTCTATTCTATTAATTCTGTCTTGATAGTCTAAATCAGATCAAGTTATACTTTGACCTCTGGAATTTGATAAATCGAAGTCTCCTGTTATTCCTTTTTACCCTTACTCAATTCTTAGAGATCATTAGAGATATCTGAAGATTTCAACGTTACTGAAAGTCCCAGTGGATCAAGGATTTTTTTCTCATTGAAATCATAGCTGTACCCAATTCTCTAGACTAGCTGGAATATCTGTTAAATATCTTTGAGCATGATTTCTGTAGTCAAAATATTACTAAATCTTTAAACCTCTGATTTGGCTTTTTAAATCTAGTTTATCATGTTCTTCTCAATACTAAGTGGTTTATTAAAATATAAATTAGATTACCTTTCCTTGATTGATTACAGCCTTTGAACTACTGGCTCTATCTTTTCAAGGCTTTCTTGCACTTTAATCAAATCTTCACAAATGAAATTGAATTCCTAAGGATTCTGGCACAACATAGCTTTCATTGAAGCTTCTATGTGTCTCTAAGCATCTTCTAGATCCCATTTAAACTGATTTATTTCAGTAATAGTGTAAGTCTTATATAGATCATAGAGAAAAGATGCTTCATCAAAATTATCTCTTAGCAGTACTGATAGTTTTTTATCTTGTTGCAATTAAGATCTCCATTATTGCAATCCAACACTCCCTTAATCACTCATTTTAATTTTTATTATATCTTTTGTAGCAAAAATCATTCATTTAATGTATTTTTATGGGGTTTTGGGGTTTTGGGGTTTTGGGGAGATCGGAAGA